TTTTTTCTTTTAAAATAGTTTGGTTAAGTTTAGTTTGTTTATTTTTAGTTCAATATCAGTGTCAAATTGTGTGCCTGTTATCTTAACCATGAAAAGAGCCATATGAAGAACAAACATTTCTTTTGCCAATCTTTGTTAAGAGCTTTATTTATTTATTTTATTTGGGTGGAATTATATTTTGCAGAGTATGTACAGAATGTGAAAATTATAATAGATTGAAGCAAATTAAAAATGTATAGTTTTTGCTAATTTGAATTTTTGTTATTTAAGGTATAATTTTATGCAACTGTGACAAAATTAGAAATTTTCAGAGTATATACAGAATGTGAAAACTAAAATAGGTTAAAGCAAATTGAAAATGTATATTATTTGCTAATGGAATTTGAATATTTGTTATTTAAGGTATAATTTTATGCAACAGTGAACAAATAGAATTTTGTTTTGATTATATCTTTTGTGTATAACATTGATCTTGAGTTGTGGATTTGGACTTTTTTTAAAACTGCAACAATGTTGCCTCTCTTTTTATGTTGTATATGAAATGCAAGTGTTTATATTTCCTACATCTTGCAACATAAAGCATCAGCTAATGGATTTGACCCATATCTATTTTCTCCCATTTGGATATGAAACTTGACTCATAATGTAGTAGTATGGTGTATTTACTTGCTGGATATAGTTAACTTGTATTTTACAAGGGTAAAAGATCATAAGAAAAGAGACCTTATAACATGGTTGCTCCTTTTTCATGGTGTGATTGTGATAGTATTTGCAAGGGTAATATTTTTTCTTGTTGCAATGCTAGTCGCAACTGTTTTTGAAGAAAATTCTCTCATCTTGAAATCTGAAATTGCAGTCGAGCCTTTTTCGACAAGAGGATCTCACAAGAAGTCAGTGGTGATGCCCTGGGTGAGGTATGTTTCCTAGTGACTTCTAACTTTTCTCTTCCTCAAGTTTCTACTGGTTTATGTAGACTTCATAACTGCAATTATATCATTTAACAGGAGTTTAAGGGCTATGTATTCAAGATCATGGGAGGCTGTGACAAGCAAGGTTTCCCAATGAAGCAGGGTGTTCTCACGCCTGGCCGTGTTCGCCTTTTGCTTCACAGAGGTCTGTAGGCTCCAGAACTTGTTTCCTTTTTGTTTATTTATAGAGGTGTTTTTGTATGGATTTTTTGGTTTATTGAAAGACTTTTTCTAATTTTCTTTGAACAGGTACTCCCTGTTTTCGTGGGTACGGTAGAAGGAACGGAGAGCGTAGGAGGAAGTCAGTTCGCGGATGCATTGTCAGTCAGGACCTTTCAGTTCTGAACTTGGTTATTGTGAAGAAGGGTGAAAATGAACTTCCTGGATTGACTGACACTGAGAAGCCAAGAATGAGGGGTCCAAAAAGAGCATCGAAAATCAGGAAGTTGTTCAACCTCTCCAAGGAGGATGATGTTCGGAAGTATGTTAATACTTATCGTAGGACCTTTACAACCAAATCTGGTTAGTACAAAGTGACTGTTAGAGCTTTGGTTTTCCGGAGGAGTTTTTCATATTTAATATATTGTTTGAGAGCATATGCCCCTATAAGTTAATGACGGAAGCTGCCATCACTTTCTTGTAATGCAGGTAAGAAAGTCAGCAAGGCTCCCAAAATTCAAAGGCTGGTGACTCCTTTGACCTTGCAGAGAAAGCGTGCCAGAATTGCAGAGAAGAAGAAGAGAGTTGCAAAGGCCAAAGCTGAAGCTGCTGAGTACCAGAAGCTCCTTGCTCAGAGGTTGAAGGAGCAGCGTGAACGTAGGAGTGAGAGCTTGGCCAAGAAGAGATCCAGACTCTCTGCCACATCTAAGCCTTCCATTGTAGCTTAAGTGTGCCCTCAGAGTTTGACATTTTCTTCAGTAGTTAAATGCAGATTCTGAAGTATTTGTGGATGTGATTTTGATTATTCAATTTCCTAGTATGTCGGTTTTTTGTGGGCTATTGTTTTTTAGGGTATGACGTGAACAATATGTTTTGAGTTTTAGTGACTGTTTTTGGATATGTTTACATATTTTTCTGTTACTTTGGATACATGTTGGTTTTTAGGGTATGACGTGTAATAACTTCCATTGCCATGCTTCCACCATGTGAGAAAGCATACATTGATGCCGGAGAAGATGATTGGTGACTATGGAGAGTGAAAGAGGAAGACGAGTGATGAAGGTTTGTATTTAGTTTAGGGTTAGGAAAGTTAATATGCAGAGAAGGGAGAGCTTCTGAGTTTTTGTAAAATAAACATGAAATGGATTAAATTGGGTTTACTAATGTATTGGATCTCTCCTAAAGTAGGCCTAATACAAATGTCGTAGATGAAGCATCTCTCTTCTCTACAGAGTAACTCTCCTAACCCTAAACTACATACAAACCTTCATCGTTCATCTTCATCTTCATCGTTCTTCCATAGTAACTTGATTATTCAGCATCAAGTTCCAGGTATTTCTTATGGAAAACGCAACATTCAATGAAGAAATCCCAGTTAACTTCTTGTGATGCATCATGGACTGAGCAGGACAATACTTAAGCAAAGTAACCAAAGAACAAACTTTCATCAACTCAATTCTTGAACAATAACCAGATTCACTATCAACCATCTGAGACCAACATTATTTTAAAACGTGCAATTTAGACTTCAACTTCCGGAGAATTAATTGTAACAAAATTGATGAAAAAAAATACTGAACTAAACAACTAGGCACTGTCCACCATGAGCATATACGATAGAACATAAACACTAGACCGATCTATTAGCAGAATTTGATTAAAAAAACAACAACAAAGAATTGCTTAGAATACCATTCCCAAGTCTCTGAGGCCTAGTCTCTTCAGTTATTCCAGTAAACCAATTTACCAGCAATCAAATTACCTCAGCGAACACGCACAGTAATTACTAGGGTAAAGTACACAAACGATCCTCTGACTATAAGGTGTTGTTTTGTTGAGTCTCTTGACTATTAAAGTTACAAAATGATCCTCTAATTACATAGTTAAAATATTGATGACAGACTATGTTAACTTGTTGAGTAAGATATTTTAAAATCTGATCTCAAAATCTTAAGCGACTGTCATATCTTATTTAACATGTTAACGTTTAATTCAACCAACCGTCATTGTTTACAGAAAAAAGTATGAGTTTGAAACATATGAATAGCCAAGTGAACATTTTGTAATTTTTAATAATCTAGGGGTTCAACAAAGTAATGTCATAAAATCGAATGATCATTTTGTAATTTTAATAGTTAGGAGACTCAACAAAGTAGTGTCCTATAGTCGGGGGATTATTTGTGTAATTTACTCTAATTACTAGTACGAAGAATCACCTAGACATATCTTGTTTCTTAAAAAAAATTGTGAAACAATCATTCATAGTGCATTGCTTTTGGGGCAGAACGTGCAACAACCACGGGAAGTTTGCGGCATGACATCAAGCATCTGAATCGCCAAGAAACTTTAGTCATCAATAGATAAGATGAGATCAAATTTCATATTTTATGAACAAAATGAGCTGAATTTTATCATTCAAACAAAAACCGATGGTCAAGAAGTAGAAACCAAATCCCAATGGGACAAATATCCAACAGTATCAAGACAATCCAAGGAAAGAACAGTCAAGAAGGGTATCAAGCTACTGTCACCATCTCCTGAAGAAAATAAAAGATACAAGGAGAATCAAATTGCGGGTTACGATCACTCCTATGAGCATTGCTTTAGCTCTTCAACAAGCAATTGGTTACGAGCTTAAAACGTTCCAGCAATGGAAACAATTATTCTTAGAAGAGATATCAAAAACTTGAATGGAAAACTTTGAAAAGTGAAAGAAGAAAACACCTTACTGCAACAGGTCAGACAATTACTACTCACCTCTCATCTCATGAAGCGTCAGAGTTGCAAATTTTACGACAATAGCAACGACCGCAATAACTAGAAACTGTTGCAGAAAATAACAACTAAACATTTCATTCATAGCACAACACCTTCGACGAGCAGACCACCATTCACGATACTTATAACGAAGGATCTCAAAGGCTCAGAAGGACTAAACCGCTGAAACCATGCCCATGACCTTTGACGATCATAGATGAACGACTACAATCGATGAGGAAAAAAAATGAGCACTGGCAAAATGCAGGTTCATCATCACATAATTTAGCTACAAATGATAATAAAATTAGTGATCCATTTCAGGAATCTCATTCTAACCAATCAAATACATATATTGTATCACATGTTTCCTGATGCATTTTATGGTGTATATAATGTGATATATTTTTCACATGAAATGAGTAAGATTTAAAAATAAGATAATGAGTAGAATTTTTATATTTGTATTTATGTCTCTTTTTCCTTTTTAAATTATGTAAAATAATTTTTATGTTAAAATATAAAAATATCTATATATATATATTTTTAACAAGAGATTATTTATATATTATTCATTACAATTATGGTTGTTATTATCTTTTATTTAGTAGGATAATATTTGTATAGTCTATATTCTCTTAATAAATTTTTATCTACAAAATAAAACTTTTATTTTTAAATGAAACACAAAAAATGGTGTGTCAATATTAGAATATTATTATAAAATATATAAATATAATATTTGAAAGTTATTGTGATTTTTAAAAAATAAATCACATCTGTAACAACTGTTACTCGTTATGTAACATTTACAATATCCATACGCACCGTAATCATAATTTAATACTATGCTCGGCCAACTTTCTAATAGTTGGGCCTGGCTTAGTAACCTAGGCGAACTTCAAAGGTAGCCTCTTAGCGAACCATCCAACACGAACTGCCCAAGTTACTGGTTTCAGACACATCAGAACCATAATCTAAATTTATCCCAGAAAACTGCCTTTTTTTTTTTGCCGTTTTCGGCAGTTGAAGAATACGAGATGGGCTATGTTCTAAAATATACAAGTTCAAAGCCCACGTTTTTGTAACAAAATAACTCACAGCATACATATAAACAACTACCACCCTCAAATCTCTCCTCTCAAACCTCGGCGGCGGCCAATCTTAAAGAAGAAGCTAAACAATGGGAGGTAGAAGAGGTTCTCGTACTCAAAGGAAGCATTTTAAGCAAAGCAGAGAAAATGTTTGGAAACGACCAAAGACAGATTCTTTATCTGACCCCAATAACCCCAACTCTAATAACCCACCTTGGCAGCCTTTTGCCACTCAAAATCCTTCCTTCGATGAATATTACAAAGTAAATTATATATTTTTTGTATGTTTGTATAGTTTCATCTATATTTGAAACGTTGAAATGTTTTATGTAATTGTTTTTGTTTTTTTTTTCCGGGCAGGAACAAGGGATTGTTTCTCCCGATGAATGGGATGCTTTCATGGAAGTGCTTAGGAAACCATTACCTGCTGCTTTCAGAATTAATTCCACGTATGTTTTTCTTTTCCTACTTTTTTTCCTGGAAGCTTTGGGGTTTGAGTTTTGATTGTAAAAATCATTTCTTTTCTTAGTAATATCTTTACTGATCTTTTGCAGTAGCCAATTTTGTGAGGATATTCGTTCGCAGTTAGAGAATGACTTCATGAAATCTCTTCAATCTGAAGTACGTGGCTGAGTTTGCATTGTGTTTATAATATCTTAATCTAATGGTGTTGTAACTTATAGTTGTAAGTAACTGTCTTTTATCTGCTGCTCACTCTCTTTTGGTTTTTTTTTTTTTTTTGCAGGTTGTTGAAGGGGTTGATTTGGAACCTATAAAACCGTTGGCTTGGTACCCTGATAATCTTGCTTGGCAATCAAATTTTTCTCGCATGCAAATAAGGAAAAACCAAACTCTTGAGAGGTAATTTGTTGTGTTAGATGACAATGTATTCTGCAATCCCATGTAAATACAAAATGTCAGATATCGCCACTCATATAATTGAGGCATTTGTGTGATCTTGAAGCTTGTAGCTATGCATTTCTACAGTGGGTTTAACTGTTATATCATGTCAGTACATGTTTAGGGTTGATGTACTGTACGACTTGCTACAGTCTTAAATTGAAAATAGAAGTGGAGGACTAGTATGATGGATTTGCAACATTTCCATGTTTTCTGCATTTTACTTGCATACCCAGCTTGTTTTGTCATGTTTATGCCCTTGTTTTCCGGCTAATAAGCATATGTGTTATGTCATATGTGATTAACAACTGCATGATTTGGTTAAATAACTTTCAGGTTTCATGAGTTCTTGAAACTTGAAACTGAAATTGGGAACATCAGTAGACAGGAAGCCGTCAGCATGGTAGGTGGATTCCACTTACAAGTTCTTTTGTTTATGCACTAATTCGCTGTTATATAGTTGGCAAGTTTAGGAAAGAAAAGACCAAAATTCTCTAATTGTTCACGGTGCAGGTGCCTCCTCTCTTCCTTGATGTACATCCTGATCATTTTATACTGGATGGTAAGAAACTTATGATGCATTTAGATAACTTATTTTTGTTTATCTTCTTTCTAAATCCACAACCTTCTTATCTGCAATTTTAATTAGGAAACTGTCCGATCTACATCAGAAATGTAGTTACTATTTCTTGTTATTCCTTTTTGCAGTTTGTGCTGCACCTGGTTCAAAAACTTTTCAGTTGCTTGAGATTATATACCATTCTGCCAAAGGAGGATCTTTACCTGAGGGCATGGTATGTTTGCTTTTATTTTTCTCTATACATTCTCTTAAGGTTTTAGTTGGCCTACCCATCATAACTGTATAACCATGAATTGCTTGAGTAGCTTTTTGGCAAAAACTCTTGCCATCTATTTCATATGCCGAGTTAAATCTTAGTAAAAAGCATAATAATAATTCTTCATTGTATTTGCTTTAGGTTCTAGCAAATGATCTTGATGTACAAAGATGTAACCTTCTCATCCACCAAACAAAAAGAATGTGCACTGCTAACCTGATAGTCACAAATCATGAAGGCCAACACTTCCCTGGTTGCCGTTCTCACAAAAACATCTCGACTGGTTCAGAAACAACAAATGAGCTGGAGCAGAGCATTACCCAACTCCTCTTTGACCGTGTATTATGTGATGTGCCCTGCAGTGGGGATGGCACTCTTCGCAAGGCTCCTGATATCTGGCGTAAATGGTTTGTGTTCCCTTGCTCTTTCCTTTCTTTTTTTCGCATTAATATCCATTTCATAAGATCTTATTTATGTGCATTTGTTCAGGAATGGAGGAATGGCCAATGGACTTCATTGCTTACAGATTCAGATTGCCATGCGATGTATAAATTATACAAGACCTTAGAATTTTAATTAGTGGATGTTCCAGTCTCTAATCTGTTGCATTATGGCAGGTCTATCTCTGTTGAAAGTTGGTGGAAGAATGGTTTACTCAACCTGCTCTATGAATCCAGTTGAAAATGAAGCTGTGGTTGCTGAGGTAATTTATGCTTTGAGAGACAAAACTACTAAACCAACATAACTTCTTTGGTAGTTTTTACTTTTGTCCTTAAAAAATCGTCTTTTTTTTTTTTTAAAAAAATGCCATATTTATCTCTTTAGTTTCTTAGTTAATAATGAAATATATGAGGATGCTAATTGCATCAGATTTTGTATATCATATTCTAGTGGAGAAAGATTAACACCACCCATCAAAATATTATATGTGGGGGTCATTAAGATGAAAGTTGAAGGCCCTAGAAGGATCTTGATTTGTGAAGGTAACCAATCATGTCAGAGCCTGATGGATTTTAAGAAAGATGAAATAATGCAAGCTTATATTTGTCATGTAAATTTGAAAAGCTTATTAAAGTAGATAAATGAGTTCTCCCTGCCAAGATGGATCTTTGATGGGGGGAAGCTTATTTATAGTCTTGCCAGTGATGCTAAAAAAGATTAACATACATGAACTGGTTAGCGTACTAAAGCATGATTTAGTTCAGTTCTGGTAGTTGATAAGATGCACATTATTATTGAACATGTATATTACAAATCTTGTTTAAACATAATCTTTGTTGCACAGAGTTAGAAAGATAAGGAAAGGATCATCTAGAAAGAGAATGAGCGCGCTAGGAAGAGAGAGAATTAGAGAAAATTCGAAAAAATCCATTTCTTCTGTGGAGGAATGGACTGTGTTCATTGATAATCTTAGCAAAAGGGTCTCTAGACGTGTGTTAAGGGATTTTTTTAGTCCTTGTGGTCAGATTCTAAGAATTTTCATTCCAAGATTTTTAGATAAATCTAATTATAAGTCCTCGACGTTTGCTTTTGTCCAATTTGCTGAGGAGGAAAGTAGGAAGAAAGCAATCCAGTTTGTGAATGGGAAGTGGTTTGATGGGAAGAGAATTTATGTTGGAGTTGCTATGTATCAGAAGGATAAGAGGAGGGAAGAGGATAAGGGGAAGAGAATGGTGGAGATCAAGTCAGGGGGGAAGGGATATTTCAAATACTGGAAGGAAGTTTGAGTCGGGTAGAGGTATGAGAGACGACAAATCATATAAGGATGTAGTAATTTTTGAATATAACTTGGAGTGTGTTAAGAAGAATGCTCCTGCTGTGAGGAACATTTGGGAGATGCATATTCCATCAGACAACTCAGAATGGGTGAAGAGATCATTAACAGGGATAATGAAACCTTCTTTTGATCTCGTTTCGTTAAAGGAAGCTTTGGAGATGGAGGGGGTGGAAGTTCAGATTGCGAGATGGGGGTACGTATGGAATGCGTGCATCATTACATTCAATTCAGTTGAGTTCTCTCACGTATGGATGAATAAGAAGAAAGAGTTGCTCTTGTGCTTAGACTGGTTAGCACCAGTATTAAACAAGGATGGAGTTCCGATGGCTCTTTGTCAAATAGAGTTGTATGGATTGCCTTTGTGATGTTGGAATGAGTCATTCGTGAAGAAACTTTCTGGGAAGTGGGGTGATTTTATTTGTTTTAAGGAGGAATCAGTGACCATATCGGACCTGTCGGTGGCGAAAGTTTTGCTAAGGGTGGAAAGTCCTTATGATGTACCTGAGACGGTTACGATTGGTTCTTATGCCAGATCCTTCAAAGTTAAGATTTCGATGGGTTCTGTTTTGAAAATACCAGAAGAAGCGGGGAGGAAGATGGTGGAGAAAATTTCAAAAAAATGTAACAGTGGTTATGTCTTGTCTAGGGAAGGGGTTGGGAGATGTCCTTTGGAAGCAGATGGGGATGAGTTCTCAGACGATGGTACATTCAAAGTCATATCTTGGCTGAATAATGGGCAGAACAGTGGTGTGAATGGAGTTTGTGGGGGACAAGTCCCATCAGGAAAGTCAACAGCAGAAAATTCAAATTGTGGGTTGTCAGGTTTCTTGGAAAATAGGACTAACCAGATGGGAAGTCATGTGGGCCTGGGATTGAGGGGTTCAAATGATCAGGTTGACTTTGGTCAGTCAGAGGAAAATGAGGTAGTTGGTTCTCCAATTAAAAAACTGATTCCTAATGGGCCTGCTTACAATATAAAATGGGTTGGGAAAAGGTTTATTCTACAGTCCAACCCCTGTTTTGAAAATTCCTTGAATGTTGCTGATGAGGGAGAGGCTGGGGTGATTAAGGAGAATATGCAGGGGGAGATGGAAGTGGTTCCAAGTGAATAGGGTGTCGAATTGAAGATAGTTCAGTCTGCTGGCCAGAGGAGTCTGGATGGAGATCATGTATGTAGCTTTCAGACCCATAAGTATGCAGAAAGGGATATAAGGTCAGATGATCAAGTGGATAGACTAAAGAAGACGAAGAAGGTTATGGAGGATAAGCAATGCAGTCAAAATGAGGGAAGTGTATCAGTTCCAAGTGTAAGGATCAGGAATTATGAGAATCACGAGGGAAGTACTTCAAAACTGATGAAGGTGGGTCAAATTTTAGCAAAGGAGGATCACCCAGTTCCAGTTATCAATCAGGTGAAGTGTAGTTCTCGATCTAAAAGTCTTAAAAATCAGAGGATACTCCCTACTAAAAAGAAGATGAATCAGAGGACATTGAGAAGGACATTGAGAATAGTTCCTCATCGCTCAGGGAGTGTGCTCAGATAGTGAAGTGGCTATCAGTTTTTATAACAGAGTCTATAGAAGGGTTGTTAGAAGGATGGTCAAGGATTCGGTGGATCAAGATAGGGAGTCATCTCAGTCTTCTCAATTTTCAGTTAAAGCTAGGAACAAGGCTGCTGCAACTAGAGAGATCTGCGATTTGTTGGGAATTACTTTTAAAGGGGGTCAGCATCTATTAAAGGAAGAGATATTTAAGATGGAGATGAAGGGGTCTTCTCGGGGAGTATGATTGTTTTTGGTTTGTGTTGGTATATATGACAGTTATTTCTAATGTCAAAGTTTAAAATAATAACATGGAACGTTAGGGGTCTAGGAAGAAGAGAAAAAACCAGAGCAGTGGCCAGACTTGTTAATAGAGAGAAGCCGGTTATTCTTTTACTACAGGAGACAAAGCTGAATGTTTACCATTCAGGTCTATGGAGGAAGTTAGGGGGTAATCTTTTGAAAGGTGGTAGCTTTAATCCTGCCGAGGGCTCGGCTGGTGGACAGTTATTTAGGTGGGATGAAAACATTTTTGAGGTCACAGCAGAACATATCCAGAACAGATTCATGGCGTTGTCAGGGAAGTTCAAGTTGCTTAACTTTGAGTGTGTTATCATAAATGTATATGGTCCATCAGTAGAGGCGGATAAAGAGGAGTTTTTCAGGGAATTGTTGTGCTTTGTTCAAGGTCTAAATCAGCCAGTTTGTATAGAGGGAGATTTTAATGCATATTTAGATACCGAGGAGAAATGTGGAGTATCTCAAAATTGGCATTGCATGGATTTGTTTAGATCCTTTGTACAACACACTAATCTTATGGATCTTCAGTTAGTTGGTGGAAGATTTACTTGGTTCAACAATAGAGATTATCCCACTTGGGTAAGGCTTGACAGATTTATAATTAGCAGTTCTTTCCTTAACAAATTTTCAAAAGTGATATAAAAAATGCTACCCAAATCCCTCTCGGATTACAATTCGGTAGTGTTAGCAGAAGAATGCAACAATTGGGGACCGAAGCCTTTTAGATTTTACAATTACCTGTTAGAGGAAGACGGGTTTGCTGGATTGGTTGAAAACGTCTTTGTCTAACCCTATGATGGACAATGGTAGAATGGGTCTGTTTTCTTTACTTCGAGGAACAAAACAGCAGATCAAGAAGTGGCCTAAAAGGAATTTAAGTGGGATATCTGAAGAGATTTCAGAATTAGAAGGTAAGATAAATGGTTTGGAACTGAAGCTACAAAACGGTGGAATTTCAATGCAAGAAAGGGACATGCTGATAATGTCTAGACACGAATTGTGGAAGCTGCACAGAAGAGAAGAGAGTATTTGGCTACAGAGATCAAGATTGAAATGGAGCAAGGATGGGGATAGGAACACGAGGTTTTTTCACTCAACATTGAATAGAAACAGATTAAATTCTATTTCGTCATTGAAAGTTGCTGATGAAGAGTGTTCAGACCCGGATCAGTTGAAGGCCGTTGTTTATAATTATTTTAAGGAGAAATACAATTCTAAAGATACATTAGAGGTGGAAGAAATCAATTTCAATTTCATGAAATTAACAGAGGAGCAGAAGAATGGTCTGGAGGTCAAATTTTCAGAACAAGAAGTGTGGGAAGCAGTTTTTCATTCGGACAGTGCCAAAGCCCCGGGTCCAGATGGTTTCACGATGGGCTTTTATAAGAAATTCTGGCCTTTCTTGAAGGATCATCTTATGAAATTTGTGAATGATTTTCATAGAGGGAGGAGTTGGGAGCATGGGGTCAATCATGCTTTTATTACATTGATTCCCAAGAGACTTAATCCAGAAGGTATTGAAGATTGTAGACCAATTAGCCTAGTTGGTACCTTATACAAAATTATTTCCAGAATCTTATCGAAAAGGCTGGTTTCAATTATCAAAGATCTTATTAGCCCCTCTCAGTTTGCATTTATTCCTGGTATGCAGCTGCTTAATTGTGCTTTTATGGCCAATGAATCCATAGACTTTTGGAGGAAAAAAGGAAGGAAAGGAGTTGTCTTCAAGATTGATTTTCGTAGAGCTTATGACTCAGTTGAATGGCCAATTATTTTGATATTATTGAAGATCATGGGGTTTGGGGAGAAATGGATTTCTTCGATTCGGTATTGTATTTCTTCTGCTTCAATTTCAATTCTCGTTAATGGTTCTCCAACAGCAGAATTTCAGATGGGCAAGGGGTTGAGGCAAGGCTGTAGTTTGTCCCCTTTGTTGTTTAACATAGTTGGGGAACTCTTGAATTTAATGTTGTGTAAGGCTGCGAATCTAGGTCTTTTTGAAGGGTTTAGTATCGGTAAGGAGGATAATCCATTTAATTTGACTCATTTACAGTTTGCAGATGATCTTATTTTATTCTACAGAGATTCTTCAACCCAAATTCTCAATATAAGGAGAGTTTTAAGGGTGTTTAGTCTAATTTCAGGGCTTCACCTCAATTTGTCTAAGAGTAAACTGTTTGGAGTTAATGTGGAAGAGGACATTGTGAAAGATTAGGCATCTAAAGCAGGTTGTGGGATGGATTATTTTCCTATGACTTATCTTGGTTTACCAATAGGTGCAATAAAAAATTCAGAAGTATTGTGGTAGCCAGTTCTGCAGAAAGTGTACAGTAGGCTAGCAGGTTGGAAAGTTTCCTCTTTATCGATGGCTGGGAGGGTGTTGTTGGTGAAATCGGTGTTGTCTTCTTTACCTATTTTCTACCTTTCTATCTTTAAATTACCGTTGAAGGTAAATCAGAAACTAAACTCTATAATGGCTAGATTTCTTTGGGGTGAAGGACAAGCCAAGAAACGGATCCATTGGATAAATTGGAATATGGTGTGTCAACCTTATGACTAGGGTGGCTTGGGAATCTTGGATCTGAGACTGGTTAACAGAGTATTGCTAGGGAAATGGGTCTGGAAGTATGCAAACGAGAAAGAAGTTCAGTGGAAAAAATTACTGTGTTGCAAGCTTAATGTCAGTAATTTATCCTTATCAATATGCAATGCCGTTTCTCCCATAGACTCTTGGATTTGGAGAGGTATTTTGAATAATTATGAGAAAGAGGATCGGATAGGGGAGTGTTTGAGGTCCAATTCGAAGATTAAAGTGGGGAATGGTAGATCAATTGAATTTTGGAATGATGTTTGGGTCAATGGCTCTTCCTTAAAGAGTCAGTTCCCTAGGATATTCGCTCTATCGAACAATAAAAAAGGAAAAGTGGCAAATTTTGGGTGCTTTAAAAATAATGGTTGGGTTTGGAATATTCAGTTAAGGAGGAACTTATGTGACTGGGAATTGGATCAGTTGATGTCATTAATGCTTTTGATTGATAATATTCGCCTGATTGAATTGGTAGATGATTTCCTTGGGTGGTCGGGGAATGGTGATGGTTTGTTCTCGGTTAAGTCATGCAGAATGGCTCTTTCAAGCAGAAATGGAGATACTTTTCAGTGGAAGAAGTGGGTTTGGTCTGGTTTGGTACCTCCTAGAGTGGAAACTTTCCTATGGCAGATTTCTCATAGGAAAGTGACTGTTAGAGTGGAACTTAAGAAGAGAGGAGTTAATCTGGAAAATATCCAGTGGCCATTATGTCATAATTTAGAGGAATCAATTCAACATCTTTTTGTATCTTGTTCGGTTGCAATGGAGCTGTGGAATAGATTCATAAATTTTTGGGATATTTCTACAATTTTGCCCCAAGATCCGGCTTCACTACTTTGTTCTTGGTCTTATATTAGGGAGTACTCTACCATCTGGAAGTTTATTCCTGGAGTAGTTTTCTGGTCACTATGAAAAGCGAGGAATTCGGTGGTATTTGAAAACTGGAATTTTGATAGCTCATCTCTGTTCTTTATAACCAGATTTAGGTTGGCTAAATGGTTTTTAGCTAAATTCCCTCTTGTTAATATTCAGGCTGATTTATTAATAGGGGATCCATCTCTTGCGGACAGAATTCATACTAAGCTATCTAAGAAGAAGAAGGTTATTTGTTGGTCTCCGCCCCCTAATGATTTCTTTAAATTCAATGTTGATGGGGCGGTGAGAGGGGATGGACTGCAGGGAGGAATTGGAGGAGTTTTGAAAGATTCCAATTGCTCTATTTTAACCTCTTTCTCTATGGTTGTGGGACCTGGTCCTCCTATGTTTGCTGAGTTAAAAGCTATTAAGCAAGGAATTGATGTATTTCTTTCATCGGAGTGAGCAACGAAGGGAAGACTTATCCTTGAGAGTGATTGCAGGAAAGCAGTGGATTGGATCTTGATACCTATTTTTGCCCCAACATTTTTTTGTTCTTTGGTTGAAGAAATTGGGGCCTATGTATCTGCTAGGGGTTTTATTATTAATTGGATTCCAAGGAGTTGTAATTGGAAAGCAGACAAGCTAGCAAAAGAGGGGATTGGTTGAGGTGTTGTGTTATGTTGTTGTAGTGTTATGTATTTTATCTAGGGAAGTTTATTATGTAAGCTGTATCTTATGTAATTATGGGTTATTAATAAAATGAGGCACTCTTTTCCTCCTTCCTCTAGTTGCCTCTTTCACAAGAGCCAACTAAGAGGGAGGTTTTTAATGAGGCCTCCTATTCCTATAAAAAAAAAACATAATCTTTGTTTCCCATTCGTTTGATATGGCTGAATACAATCCTGTTTAAACATAATCTTTGTTTCCCCTTTTGCTTCAGATTTTACAGAGATGTGGAGGATCTGTTGAACTTGTTGATGTTTCAAATGAGCTACCTCAATTAATTCGCCGACCAGGTTTAACAAAATGGAAGGTTGGTTTTACCAAATCTCTTGGGTATTCATTCTACTTGCATGGAGATATTGCCTTTTAACATTCTGTTTTCTTCTTTCCATCTGATGTCGATGTTTTCCATGTCCATCAGGTACGTGATAAGGGAGTCTGGTTAGCATCATACAAGGATGCTCGCAAGTTGCAAAGAAATGGAAATGGAATTGTTCCTAGCATGTTCCCTTCTGGAAAAAATTATACAGATCTAACTAACAACAAGAAGAGTGAAAATGGTGAAAATGTAAATTCTGAAGTAGTTCAGCTTGATGACCCTGTTCCTTCTACTGATGATTTGGAGGAAGAAGTTTCTGATCTCCCACTAGAACGCTGCATGAGGATAGTTCCTCATGATCAGAATACAGGAGCCTTTTTCATTGCTGTCCTCCACAAAGTTTCTCATTTGCCTGGTACATCAAAATTATCCCGTCCCTTTTATGGTTTACAGTGGCATGTAGTTTGTCATTTCTATGATGCTTCATCTATACCTCGATTCAGATATGTTATTTGCTATTTTGATTGTCAAAACTTTTGATTCCGTAACCCTACTCGGTCTTTTCTTTCGCTTGCCTCATTGGGCATTTACTAATTGGTTTCATAATGCTTGTTGCAGCAATTCAGGACAAGTCTGCTAGTTCACAAAGGAAACTATCAACTAGAAATGAACTGCATGAAAATGTGTCAGACGAAGCTACTGAAGAAATAAATGGATTAGAAGAAAGTTCTGTGGATGGGGAAGATGGAAAGATCTTGGAAGCAGCTTCAAAGGCTGACAAAAATATCTCAGAAATAGCTTCGGAGGCTGATGAAAGGATCTTTGAAGTGACTTCAGATGTTGATGAAAAGATATCAGAAGTGGCTTTAGAAGAGGATTTGGTTGATCAACCAGATGGAGATGCTCCAGAGAGCAATTCTTCTGAAGCAACTCAAGGAGCTGCTGATAAGAAAAATGATTCTGCAAAAGCTGGAGAGAAGAGAAAGTTGCAGATGCAGGGCAAGTGGAAAGGAGTTGATCCCGTTCTTTTCTTCAAAGATGAAACTATAATAAACAACATTAAGACATTTTATGGTATTGATGAATCCTTCCCATTCACTGGCCACCTCGTTACAAGGAACAATGATGCTAACCATGTGAAGAGAATTTATTATGTTTCGAAGTCAATTAAGGATATTTTGGACCTTAATTTTCGAGGCGGACAGCAACTGAAGATAACTTCTGTTGGCCTGAAGATGTTTGTGAGTATACTTATTGCATTTATTTTCTTTTAATTGCCCTGTGCATCTTGCTGTAAGAATTTTTTTTATTTTGTGAAAATTTGTATAGCCTTGTTTGCTTCTGAATTACTGGGGGTCATTTTTTTCATTTCATTTTGATTGTGGTAAACCAGGAGCGCCAAACATCTAGAGAAGGTTCCTCGGCTCCATGCTTATTCAGGATATCATCAGAAGGGTTGCCTGTGATTCTCCCTTACATTACCAAACAAATACTATATGCTTCCACGGCAGATTTCAAGCATCTTTTGCAATATAAATCAATCAAATTTTCGGACTTCGTTGAGGCTGACTTCAGTCAGAAGGCAGCGAACCTGATGTTGGGCTGCTGTGTGATTGTTTTGAGAAACAGTGAGTAACTTCATTTTATCTGCAGAACAATTGTTTTCTATGATTCCCCTACTAACATTTTTTTTGCAGCCTGCAAATCATTGTCGAACCATATCCAAGTTGATGCATCAACGATAGCCATTGGCTGCTGGAAGGGTAGGTCCAGTTTGAGTGTGATGGTTACAGCAATTGACTGCCAGGAGCTGCTGGAAAGGCTTTCGGTAGGCATGGAGACTGAAAAGAATGTAACTTTGGCACCTGAACACCACAGTGAGCTAGATGAAAAACAAGATGTGAATGGCGAAAATGGAACCTCACTGGAGGAACATGAAGCAAAGAAGATACGGAGTATCAATGCTACTGAATAGGAACACCAAAACATGGGAAGTGCCAGACTTATAGATGAAATAGTTTCAATGTCTTATTTTTACGCTTTAAGCAATTTGAAGGTCTTAACCGCATACTGCTAGATTGAAGAACAGTGAAAAGCTTTGATTGTTTCCCCTTTGTATTTTTGAGCAATTGCAAAGGTTATTATCACCTTGGGTATGTTACCGATAACTTATGCAGTTTTGGCAAGCCATTTCCATGTTTTAACTCATGTTATTAGAGGGAATTCTTGATGCCATTTAAAAAAAAAACTATAGCTTATTAGATAACCAGTTCCCTTGACGAGAGCGTCAGATCAGACTGTAAAAAGCCGTTACATAGCTTATTGAATATTCACTTTCAAATCGGATTCAACTGCTTTAACAATTACCGACCACAATCATAATTAAAAGCTAACCAGATCTAGGCGTTGATTAGTAAGAATAAACATCTAAAAGGCTTGCAACTAAACAGCTCAAATTTAAGAAAGATAACCACTATCCTGCTGACCAGTATGACATGCTTGTTAATACTTGATACAGAACCGTTCATAAACAAACGTGCTACCACAAGCACACAATTTTGATGTTAGGCCAAGATTTGATGCAAATGATGACACAAAATTGTTAGGCCAGGATCTAATACAATACAAGAAAAGGTGACACCAGCAACGCATCGAGGTTCAACTGAGGTCAAGATTGAGATCAATCATCCCAAATCTGTTGCACCCAAGGTTGATGACACAATTGCTGGCCCTAACTGCAGCAAAAGTGCAGCTCATCCATATGCCAAGGATGGCATTGCCCAGGGCATGTGCAGCCACAAAGCTGTGATTTGTTGAGGATGCCTCCATTGGGTCTTTTGTTTTTGATGAGCAATACAACACCTTCATAAATATGGTTATGCTGCCGACTCTGCAGGAAACAACTATATTGGTAATTTGGATGATTTGCAGAAGAATGATGCCATTTAAGTCTATAACATCCCACAACATGAGCAAAAGAAGCGGAGAATTGAGAAAAAAGATGTTGAAATGGAGGATGAGGTTGTGGGTGGTGAGAATGAGGTTGATCCAACAGAGATTGATAATCCAGGTAGTGATGTGTGGCTGATGAAGAATAAGAAGATTCCTTGGGCAGGTAAAAAAGAGGGATTGCAAACAGAGTTGACCGAGGAGCAAAAGAAGCAAGCATACTGAGGAGTATGCATAGAAGAAATAAGAGAAAGGCCATATAGGTGAGACAGGTGAGCCCGTGGTGGATAAGACTACTTTTCATGGAAAAAAGGAGAGAGACTACCAAGGAAGGTCTTGGATTGCTCCTCCTAAAGATGTAAAAGCAACAAATGATCATTGTTACATGTCAAAGAGATTGATACATACTTGGAGTGGGATCATGAAGGAGTATGATCATTCTTTAAAAATCGTTAACAGGTTAGAAATTTGCTCTGCTAAAGAAACCCTTTGTCTAGAGCATTACAAACATTTAAACTTTCATCAAGTTGAGTCAATACAGCACACCTAGACACCACATCAGGAGCGTGTCACCTCTAATTAGTATAGTGCAATTAATCACTTACTGTAGTGAATTGTGTAGGATTGTAGTAAAAACAATTGCATGGGAATGATTCCAACATTATGAGCCGCATAGTTGTTAGTTCCACTAAAATGTTTCTATATCATATTCCTACAATATTGTATACTGCAAATCAACTCCTCTTTGATAGGAATCTGGCATTGGCATCTTGCATCAGGTTTTTATTAGTAGATAGTAATGAAGTTGAGCCTGTTATAATCTGTAGCTTTATCAGACACACTATCCTTGCTGTCTGTACCCTTCACTGAGGCCAATTATTTCAGCCAGGAGAGAAATGCTATGCTATTATTTGTACTAGTTGTACGTTAAGAAGCCTTTCCTTCGTTGTCAAACAAGAAATAATATACAACTCTTGCATATCTATTCTGCTACTCAAACAGCCCTATCAACCATAATCCACCAAAAAAATGTCATTGGTTTTGTTGGCATTTCCTCAAAATTGAAGGAAAGATGTCATATTGATGTAAAGGTATTTTGTTAATCAAACATGAACATATGCATTTAGTTTTAGGCATAATGACAAAATTACTCTCAAAATTTATACGAATGTTTGTTTTTCTTCTATTCTTTTCTCTTTGGAGAATTTTAGCGCCCAACTTTCAATTTTTGGTCAAAACAACTATGTTGAATGAAAATCGTTAACTAACGGTTAATATATATTACTGAAGTGATAATTTTAAATGTGTTCAACATATATTACGTCATCATTTTAAATAATGTGACATATATCATGTTATTTCTGACGTGACATATGACGTAAATTAAACTATGAACTCCGTTACAATAGAAAGAGGCCCAACCCAATAAATCTTAGAAGGAAGAAGCCATATCGGTTAAACACCACGGAAAAGCCTAAGACCTCTTTTGAAAATTGGAAGCATAAATAACCCTGGGCGAAGGGTCACCATTGACTTCCATCATCGCGTTTGAGCAGAAATCTTTTGTTTCTAACAGAAGTTATCCAGTGAAGAAAGTACTAACATGGGAGTACGAATGACAAACGGGTATAATTTTGTGGATTTCGTACTGTACCTACTTTAATTGGGACGGAGATGAGTATAATTTTAGTAGGTAGTGGGCGGTTGTGGATTTAGAAAGTGATACTTGTCGTTGATAATGGGCGGGTGATTGGTTTGAGACCTTATCCGCCCCGCATCCGCCCTCTCCACATCCGTTTGCCCAATAAATACCCATTAAATTTTGGACCATTATGAATTTAGGTATACTTTTAGAGATTAATTTATAAATCTTAATATTGTATAAGATATAACTTATAATTTAATCAAATATTAGGGATAATTTAACCAAATGAACAATGTTGAACAAGTTTGTTGAATTTGTAGAGCAAAATAATGATGTAATTTCAGAAAAATCTGATTTGGACATGTACTTAGAAACTGACAACATACCACTTGTTGATGATTTTAATATTCTTAACCGGTAGAAAACAAATGGAAATAGTTATCTAACTCTCCAATAAATAGTAAAGGATATTTTGAGCATTCTTTTCTCCACTATCCCATCAGAATATACATTTAGTACAGGTGGAAGAGTAATTGGTCCTTATTGTAATCGACTACTTTCGGGGACAATTGAAGCATTAATGTGTAGTCAGAATTGGTTTTGAGCCGATATTAAAGGTAATATTATTATTTAGTCTATGTTAGTTGTAAAATTGTGCTTAATTATCTTATTAAAGTTTAGTTACTAACTTATATTAATTTTTTCTTCTATTATATGTGTGGATAGTAGTGAATTTAAATTGAAACGCTCTCAATGGAAGGAAATAGATAATGATGATTGTAATATTGAAGTAATAAATGTTACAAACATTGCTTGAAATTTGAGAATATTGTGTCAAAGAATAAAAATATTGTGTTTATCATTTATGTTTATAGGCTTTAATTATGTCTTTTATTATGATATTTTATGTCTTTAATTATTTCTTTTAATATTATGTTTCTTAATGGACGTGTTTATTTTATATTTATTGTTTATGTATAAATTAAGGTCTATGTTAATCGGGTCTAACCATATACGTATCCGGTTGGACAGTTGGTACGAGGGGATTTTAGAATATACTCAAGAAGAATCAACGAACAGAGATGGTTGGGGGAATAAAATAAAAATGGATGAAGAGGAGCATGAGGTGTACGGAGGTGAAATCCCCTACGTCGACATGTCGGCCGCCGATGAAGACGCTGTCAAGGTAATTATTTTTTAAAACAAGAAACTTTAGCTCAAGACCGTCCTTTGGTTTTTGATACTATAACTGTTTGATTGTTGTAGGAATTGGATGAAATGAAGAAACGGTTGAAGGAGATGGAAGATGAAGCGGCGGCTCTCCGTGAAATACAGGCCAAGGTCGAGAAGAAATGGGTGCTGTCGTAACCGGTTTTCGTCCGGGCACGAAATATTTACTTGGCGGGAAAAGTGATGTGAATAAATGGTTTTTTAAAATAATTTGGGAGTCGCCATCGGCCTTTTGGGTCAGGTAGGTCGAATACCTAAAAATTATCTTTTAAAAGAGTTTTTAAGAAAACATCAGTTAAAAGATGAACTGATATGCGTTTATAACCAAAAATTCGTTCTTTTTAATAATAAAAAGGGATTCGTGGTCGGTTACGTTTAGGGAAGGATTAGCACCCCTACAACGCCCAAAATTGGTACTTTTTAATTATAAATTGTCTCTATTATTGGAAATTAAAAAATATATTTAATTCATAATCCTTTTATTTTAAATAATTTAATATATAAATAAGATATTTACTTATTTAGAAATATCAGAAAAGAACTTATAGGTACCTTAAGACAGTTCTTTTCTTTGACATTGAAAAATAAATAACTAAAAATGTAAAAATTTAAAAGTAAAATAATTTAAGAAAAAATTAAATTATAATATTTAATTATTTAAAATACCAGAATAGGACATCCAGTTATATCAAGACTGTCCTTTTCTTCGATATTAAAAACAAATAAACATTATTAATTTATAAAATTAATCAAATAATATATATTAAAAATATAATAATAATACTAATTAAAATATTATATAAAATTAAAATATATTTAAACAATAATTAAAATAAAATTAAAACTAAATATAAAAAGTAATAAACTTGTAATTAAATAAAAGTATTAAAATTAGTGACTAAATTATAACATATTGAAATTAAATACTCTAATTCGTAATTAATTATTTAATATTGCAGTGGCTAAACATGCTATTTTACGCATTTATTAATTTAATGACTAAAGTAATAATTATTAAAACCTAAGGGACTAAATTTATTATTTATCCTAAAGATTTATAAATACAGTTAATGGTTAAAATATAATAAAATAAAATTTAAACACTAAATTAAAATGATTAAAAGTCAATTTCAGTGACTAAATTGCAAAGTTACAGAACTATAAGGGTTGCGGAAAGGGTTTACCCTTTCTTAAATTACACAGATACCCTCCCCAAAACGACGTCGTTTGGGGAGGGTTTTAAATACCCTAAACGCCTGGCCCGAAGGGCCAGGCTTCCTCATTTGCTTCTTTCTCAGCTTCTCTCTAAAACAGAGAGAAGCATTTCTCTGGCTTCTCTCTAGGTTCCCTCGCCGGAGGGAAACCGGCAGCCATAGGCCACCGTACTCCAGTGTCAATCACCACCGCCGGCCACCGTCAATGGTGGCCGGAAATTTACAAAACCCCCAGAAGATAGATCTGAACTCCCTAATGACGATTCTAGTCTCCTTTTTCCTTAAATCTCTTTAGATCGACGTAGATCTAAATTTTTTACCTTTGAAAAATGAGACTCCGGTGACGCTCGGTATTTCCGGCAATGAGCGAGGCTTCAAGGGTAAGTTCCTCTTCTTCTCTTCGTTTCTATTTTGATTTACTACTGGTTGTGGGTTCGTCTCTGTTGCTCGTTTCTATTGCTCGTCTCTGTGTATCTCCTCTCTCCTCCGTTTTTTTTCTTTTTTCTTGCAGGGGACGGTGGCTTTTATAGCCACCATCGGTGATAGCTTCAGACCGGTCCAAAGGACGAAAGGCCCGGTGAGTCACCATAGCTATGGTGGTGACTCACCATAGGGCTCGACGTGGTTGGCTTCGTGACGTTCTGGAGTGTCGGCAACAGCTGTTGGACCACCTGGAATCATCAGAGGCGGCTGGAAGCATCTGGAAACGACTGGCTGCTAGGGTTAGAAACCCTAGGGTTTTCAATCTGGAACCCTTTTGGGCCGTTGGATCTTGCCAGATCCAACGGCTGATGATGTTGACGGCGACTGGCCTTCTGGGATGATGAAAACCCTAATTGGGTTTAGGGTTTAGGCTTGTAAAATGGGCCTGATTATTTGGGTTTGTAATAATTATTTAATAATAATAATATAATAATAATATTTAATAATAATAATAATAATATTTAATAATAATAACAAATTTAAATGAAAAAAATGATGTCTACAGCTGCCCCTCTTTGCTCATCCTTGTGTTAACAAGAATAGAGCAAAGACGAAAAAAGACAATAATTTTTTCATTTGGCTTCTTTTGAGCAGGATGGAAATGTTTGAAAATATCATGCACTGAAGGGCTTATAGATGACCCGAAGGTTTTTGAAAACATCAAAAAGCTCCCGAAGGCTTTTTTTGGAAACATCATGCACTGTAGGACTTACAGATGACCCGAAGGATTTGAAAACATCAAAAAGCTCCCGAAGGCTTTTTGGAAACATCATGCACTGAAGGACTTACAGATGACCCGAAGGATTTGAAAACATCAAAAAGCTCCCGAAGGCTTTTTGGAAACATCATGCACTGAAGGACTTACAGATGACCCGAAGGCTTTGAAAACATCAAAAAGCTCCCGAAGGCTTTTTGGAAACATCATGCACTGAAGGACTTACAGATGACCCGAAGGCTTTGAAAACATCAAAAAGCTCCCGAAGGCTTTTTGGAAACATCATGCACTGTAGGACTTACAGATGACCCGAAGGATTTGAAAACATCAAAAAGCTCCCGAAGGCTTTTTGGAAACATCATGCACTGAAGGACTTACAGATGACCCGAAGGCTTTGAAAACATCAAAAAGCTCCCGAAGGCTTTTTGGAAACATCATGCACTGAAGGACTTACAGATGACCCTAAGGTTTTGAAAACATCAAAAAGCTCCCGAAGGCTTTTTGGAAACATCATGCACTGAAGGACTTACAAATGACCCGAAGGATTTGAAAACATCAAAAAGCTCCCGAAGGCTTTTTGGAAACATCATGCACTGAAGGACTTACAGATGACCCGAAGGCTTTGAAAACATCAAAAAGCTCCCGAAGGCTTTTTGGAAACATCATGCACTGAAGGACTTACAGATGACCCTAAGGTTTTGAAAACATCAAAAAGATCCCGAAGGCTTTTTTGGAAACATCATGCACTGAAGGACTTACAGATGACCCGAAGGCTTTGAAAACATCAAAAAGCTCCCGAAGGCTTTTTGGAAACATCATGCACTGAAGGACTTACAGATGACCCGAAGGCTTTGAAAACATCAAAAAGCTCCCGAAGGCTTTTTGGAAACATCATGCACTGAAGGACTTACAGATGAGGGAAATAGTTTACTAAGTAAAAAAACTAAGGAAATCATTTTCTTACTTTTCAACAATTTTATTTTTAGAAAAGATTGAATGAGAAACTATGGAAATCGTTTTCTCATTATTTTTCAAAATAACATGTTGATTGGGTAACATGCCCCAATCTCAAAATAATGCTCATTTTTATGGATTACGTCCATCTATTCTTCAGATGTTCGCGTGATTCCTGTATTTACAGTTTTGAATACCTTCTTCTTGTAAGGTATTTCTTACCATGAATCTTCTTGTTCTTCCGAAGATCTGTAAAACTTCATTTTTGAATGCACTCAGATGTATCAATGTAATGCATTGTCTATTGTGTAAATGATATTCTTATGAATGCATGAATGTTGATGCAATCTTCATTTGACTTCAAAGTGGTGAACTTGGTCTTCCTTCACTTCATCATTTATTGCCAGGGTTATCTCTGGATATCAGTGTAGAAACTTATGCTATCAAGCTTTCATTTTTGCAGAATCATCTGATCAACTTGTATCTTGGCGTCTTCTTTGTTTCATGAAAATCTCAGAAGAAATGTTTCATTTGTGGAACTCTTGCTGTAGTCAAAATTATGACCATGATGCCCCATTTTGTCTTGCATAAAACCAACTTTATTTGCTTGGACTTGTGTGTAAATCCCATAAAGCTTTCATCTTTGAAAAGAGAATCTATCATCTTTTAAAAAGATAATCTATCATCTTTGAAGAGTGTAGATGTAGATATATGACTCAGCATGGATTAATTAGGGGAGTAGAGTCTGTTCTGATTTGACTCTTGAAACACATCATAAGGAGAATTTATCTCAATTCCTTTCATGTCTCCACATATAATCAGATCTCGAATAAGACAACTTGGACTAATATCATGTCGAGATGCTTAACAACAACCTGTAGTTCAACCTTAGTTGACCCCATTAGTTTCTTGTTTAAAATTTCAACTTTCCTTGGAAAGAAATCTTCATTATATCTCACTTCTAATCTTGGGGTTGAAGAAGACAAACTTCATCTTGGATCAATAAATGAAAACCATATGATCGTAACATTGGTTCAGCATCAGAATAACAGGTTCATAAAACATTTGATAGTGCATTCATCCTTTCCTGTGGCTTCTGCTCAGATGTTCGTAAAACATTTGACAACACATTCATCCTTTACTGTGGCTTCTGCCAAGATTTCTCAATCATTTAAGCTCTTTGCCTAATGTTCAAAGCTTTTGAATAACGTCACAAGACCACTTGAGAACAAAACTCAGTGGGGATTCAAGTGTAATGTTGATATGACCAAACAGTTGGTCAAATTCACAAAATGTGCTGGTATCGAATTGAATAGGAAATACCGACAAATCTTGATATCATCTCTGGAAAAGGCAAATGTGATACTGATCATGCTTTCTTTCATAATGAGCATTGTAGAAAGTAGAAACACTTCAGCTATAGGATCAATGTACAGAAAGATATTCGTGGATTTCTTGCTGCTGGGGATGAAACGCACATGATAAAACCCAAAATAGATGGAAACTTAATTCATCTTGGCTAGCAATGATGATCCCAATAACAACGGGAATAACAATAATATAATTGAGAGTCGAGTCTCCCTTTTTAATGTCATCAAGTAAGCAAAAACTATTGTGAAAAACAGCTTCGTAATTCTAACAGTATGGTTGAAACTAACTGCCAGGAATCTCAAAGAAATATTTTCAATTATCACCGACACACAAAAGGCCAAATTCAGAGTTTGAGGTCTCGATGAACTGATCCTTGGATGGAATGGTCT